ATGAACTGTCTCAGAACAGACGTTTATGAAGCTTTGGCTCTCTTAGACTTGAAAGTCTTTGGGAACAGAAAGTCTCATGATCTAGAATTTTATCCGCTGTTAATACACGTAACGCGTGTTTTAACGAGTTTAAGAACTCTAAATGAAGTGCTGAGGAAGTTCTCCCCATTCAATGCCCTGCAACTGATTCATATGTTTTTACCTGGAATTTCGGTTTATACGTTTGATAAAAATCGATCTGTGACATGTTAATAAAAATAACGAAAGGGATAAAGAAAATTTAATAGTTTCCCACACTTCTTTCCCTTCGATTTATTTTCCTTTTATCCTATCTTCTTTCACTGATTGAAGACCGAGCTGAAGGATGAACTGACCATCACGATCTGAACCCATACAAAAAAACGAGGCGAAGAATTAAAAAAAAAAGCGAACGACGAACCTTTTAAACAAAAGATGGACGAAAAGAAGGGGTGTTAGATCCAGTCTGGCGATACGACAAAAATCATCAGTATACGAAGGGCCGGAGCAGCCGTAAAGAAAAACGAATTTCTCTAAAAATTAATTAGGGAACAATTTTATAAAATTGATACTGCATCGTGGCATATCTGAGGCGTGAGTAATGAAATGTCATGTCCAGAGCGACTGCAAGCAGAGGCTAAGGGATGGTTCACTACAGAAGGGTTGAGAAGGGTCGCAAGGCAAAGTAGCTTAATGTCAGATGATTGATGGATTCACAGAAACTTTGCGGTAGTCCGTCTCCTGAGACGGGGGGGGGGGGGGGGGGGGGAAATCCGTTTACCTTCTCCCTGTCGTACCTAGTACGCTTTAACCCCATCTTTTTATCTCTCCCCTAAAACTCCCTCTTTCCGACGGTTATACCTGTCTCCGTTTTTTTTTTCCTTCCTCAGGGGCTCGTGTACAGCAGCACTAAATCTTCCTCCACCCCATACAACACAAAATGTTCTGTTCTGCTCCGCTCTGTGCCACTGTCGTCAACTTAAACCGTTTCTGACGCAACATTCAAAATTCGTCGTAACAGACGACAGATTGAAGAACAATGCCAACAGCTTTGAATAAAAACGGAACAAGTGCACGCAACGTTCCGCAAAATACGCCTTTCCAAAGTAAAACCTCTAAACCAAGGAAGACCATCTATTATTATATTTAAATATATAGTTCCCCTGCCTAAAACACACACACACACCACGCGTCTCCATGACAACGGTCAACTTGTTTATGCTGTTCAGTGAAATAATCGCTGTTAATTCTAAAAATTACGTACTACCATATTTTAAATCTGTGGGCGAAATTAGTTACCAATGGGATTTAAAACATTATAATTAACTAAAACGCAGGAAGTTAGTTCAAGGGCAAGACAAAGTAATCTGTGTAATTAATAATGTTTTGCGGTATTTAAAACGAATAAATTTTACATTTTTTAAAACCAGGAATTTTACAAACTTATCAACTTAATCGTTCGAGGAAGACCACAAATCATACAGTCATCTCACTGATTACAAAGCTTATGTGACGACGATGTTTCAACTGCGGAGATTAAACAGCGTGGAATTTGATGTAAGGATGGCGATCACGAACAGTGAGTGCGTGGAGAAGAATCTGGGGGGGGGGGGGGG